ATGTGCTATTGATCTTACGCGTTGTATGTATCTATAAAAAAAATGAGTGTGCGCGAGAGCGTAAAAAAGTTGGAATGTAGAAAAAGAAAAAAAAAAAAAAGAAAGATTAGAAAAAAGAAAAGAGAGACAGAGAGAAGATAAAAAGGGCGTGGAAGATAAGCTTTAAGTGTGTATGCGTGTATCTGAGCGTGCTTGCATACGCTTGAATGAAAGAATGCGATAGTGACGAAAAAAAAAAAAAACTAGTCGGAACTGTACATACTCGCCAAAAGTATAAGTGCATGAAGAAAAAACAAAAATTCGTTTTTATTATATTTCCTGTTTGTAAACTTGCAATCCATATATACATATACTATATATAATGCGCATTTATTCGTAAGATTTATTCTAAGGAAGTATTTTTTTTCTCTCATCTTTTCAGAGATAAAATATAAATTTATTATTTTATTTACGCTTTCTGGCGGGTATGTCCAGTACGTGATTCAGAGCACGATTCTTGTTTCTCATACTTCGCATCACTATGTGACGGAAGAGAAGAAAAAGAATTTTACAGTAGGACCGAAAATATGTGCTCGATACTAGTTATATAATAATAGGATCAAGGAAGGCAATGCGTGCTATAATTGGCTTCCGAATACACGACTTTCAAAGGTATATTAAAAAAGCTTACCTGGTGGCGTCGCCTTATAATTATTACTATTATTATTACTATTATTATTATTAATTATATTATTACTATTATTATTACTATTGTTATTATTATTATTATTATTATTATTAATTATATTGATCTTGAATATTCCATCGCTCATGAAGAATAAGTCGGAAGTCATTGCGCGCGACGCCGTTGTTAATGACGTTAATGTAATATTAATACTGTAATATTATTGCCATCGTTATTACTGCTGCTACTATCGTTATTATGATTATTACAAGTATTATCGTTAATTTTATCACTATTGTAATAATTTATGATCCGTACCAACACGATTGTCTTATTGACAATATCGTCATTGTAAGTATTACAGTTTCTAATAATCCATTTAAGGAGTAGCAAAATGAGATTCAGATACACAATGAAAATTCTTTTTAGCAGATACTATTTACAACGTCTTGTTTACTTATTTCTAATGTCATTATTATAATTATCAACACTATTGTTGATATTATATAGTCATAGATTGATATCTTCGAATTATTTTACTTCTTTCATTTATTCCATATTTTGTTATTTATAAATGAAATATGCATGATTTATCGTCGATGAGATATGCAAAACCTAAAAATCAAAATATATATTTGGAATATTTCACCTTAACATTTTATAGATAATATTAAACATATATATTTGTGTCGCTTTTATGCAGAAACATGTGATTGCATTTAAAAAAAGAAATTTCTTTAAAAAGACAGTTTAAACTTCAATCTCAATTCTATTTTACAAACTAACTGAACAGTATGATAAAAAAAGTCACTATAAACATAACTAACATTAATAGTAATACGAAACAGAAACAAAATCCTCCTTTCAACGGGTTATTTTGATGAAATTTGTTTATCCTTGAGAAAAAAAAAGCATGCATTCAATTAGAAAAATGTACAAATGTTTTATTGCTCAAACATCCATGCTTGCTCGTAAATACATGTAAAATATTGCTGTAATGACGCACGAATTTGGATACATTCCACACGTATCGGGATACGCATCGAGAATTACAGTGATATTGTGTTGTGTGTTTCTTCACGCGCTTTTGTACAGAACCGCGCACCGAGTGCGCCTTATCGATAACTCTTTGGTCGTAAGCGCCACTTCTGCGTAATTCTTTTAAACGAAACCGTGCGTGTTGCCCCCGTTCGACACTCGCATGTAATCGAGCAAATACGACAACGGGAAAAAATAATAGAACAACGATCCGTCAAATAATAAAAAAAAAAAAAAAAAAAAAAAAAAAAAAAAAGACCCCCCAAAAAAAAAAAAAAAAAAAGACCCCCCAAAAAAAAAAAAAAAAAAAAAAAAAAAAAAAAACAAAAGGAAAAAAAAAATATTTAAAGAAGCACCGGAGGAAAGGGCTCGTTTCGAAGTCTCGTTTTCTCCAGGTCCACTAAACACGTTTTATGTACAATGTCGCTTCACTGAAGCGAGATATATTAATCGTCCGCTTTGGATTTATGAACGAGGAAAGGCTGAAAAGAGGGCAGCACTGTCACTGATGCATTTTCTTATCGTTCGTTTTTTTTTTAAATTCTAATATGCTTCCATTATTTCGGCGCCTGACTTCCATAATCCACGTACACGCGCACAACTTCACCACTGTATTTACGTTGACTGGGCATAAAATAAAAATCAGGCTGATTTGGTTGAGTGGATACACCACCGCCTGTTAAATTATGCATATTATTCTTCGATCGTTGATAATGATCCCTGCGATCTTGTGTATAATAACCAGGTTGAATGGGTGCTGTGTGCCTCGAACCCGGTGCACGTGGCAAACTATATGTCGCTCGTGGTCCTACTATCCTATTAGGGCCTTCCACGGTATCTGTGCCGATTCCGTTTCCAGTCATTTCTCTATGACGAGGTAAACTGGAAACTGGCGGTGGTGGAGCCTTTTCTTCTGTCTCGAATGCCTCGAAAGCAAAATTTGTGTTCGCACCTGAAGCGTAGTCCTTCCAAGCATTATTGGCGATCAAACGATCCTGAAATAATTATTAACGTTATGATTATCATCATTGCAAGCATTTACTATTTATACAAATTTGAACATATATTTAAGCTTATACAAATTTATTTATGAAGCAAAAGGATGAAACTTGTCACTTAAATGTGATATTTCTTATTTCTACTATTTACACTTACACTTTTTTGGTAAGCACAGTAAAAGAATTAGAAAAGAAAAAAAAAACAACAAAAAGCGAAAGCAAAAAAAGAAAAGAGAAATGGAGAAAGGTAGAAAAGATTGCCAGTGTAAGAAATACCTGGATTAGTGGGCAAACAAGCGTACGATGAATAATAATTAGCGCGTCAATTGTGTACAAAGTGTGAAGTTCTACCAGCTGGGATTAGGACGATGCATTTCATATGGAGCGTGTTGATGATGATGCCGAAGATGATGATGGTGATGATGATGATGATCGCCATTTTTTCGATGATACCGCGTCGCGTTCGTACGATGAATCGGGTTGGGCGCGTCACAAGAAGCCAGAGGCAGCGAGTACACCCTCTTTACACCATGATGGTTGCGAAGAGAGCGGATCATGCAACACAAGCGAAGCAGAAAATCGTTTCGAATTCATAAGAGTAGAGTAATAGTGAAAGTTCAGTCTAAAGCTAATGTCTAATTCTTCTAATATTACAACCATGATGAGAAGAAAAAAACGTTTTTTTTTAAATCAAAGTTTCTATTATATATTTCTAGATATTTAAAAAAAAAATATCTAAATTATATTTAGGAATGCACATAAATTTAAGAAGTTACAAAGATATATTATATCTATTTAATATATTGGATATAATAATATTTTTGAAAAATATTTCTATTTCTGAATTAATTAACAGAATTCTAAGAAATAAGTAATTTTTATCGAGAATATAATTCTGGAAAATTCTACTAATAAATCTAAAAACTAAAGTAGTAAGCGGGTTTACTTTTAATAGACACAGCTTGAAAACTAGCATTGCTCTAAACCATACCACAACGCTAATACGCTTACAAAAAGAGTTAGATGCACACACAATACAAAGAGAAAGAGGTAATTAGAGGTAACATAAACAGAAAATAGAGAAACGAAGAATATATAAAAAAAAGAGGAAAAAAATGTTTAAATATATAAAGTGGTAAATAATATATAATACCTTCGTTGCTCGTCTCCTCGATGATCTATAAAGAGTACAGCTTGCTTGCAATAAAACAAGAGCAAGCAAGGCAGCAACACATCCAACGACGATATACAGTTTTGTCGAATCAAGAAATAGATTTGATGTGATTGACGATTCTTCATTCGTATCTCCTCCACCTATATCATTTACTGGCGATCAAACAAAAAATATTCAAATTGTATTGATTATATATTATATACTTACACTTATTACTATGATTATTCATATTACGTGGAATTAGAAATATATATATATATGAATTGTTAACTTATCATTACTAATGAAAATGTTTTAATTTTATTATACTATAACTTCATTAATTGTTGAGGTAAAAAAATTAAATGCAATATTATTTAAAAATTTAATCAGTGTAACTTATTGCTTAAGAAAAGTTAAAATTTAGATGCTATTTAAATATAATTTCAATTGCAATTTGTCAATGATTGCTAAAAGTCTTGAAAATGAAAAACTAAATATTCATATTTTAAAAATTAAAAATACGAAAAAATTTCATTTACCTCGAGGAGCTCTAATAAACAAATATTGTGGATCTACACTTAATGCACCGACTTTTCCAGTAATGAGAGCTTCTTTTAATGCTTTTTCTGCAGCTGCACTGGTATCTATAGGTTTCAACGATCTACCTTTGATTTCATTTTTATCTAAGATCAGATCCATGCGTGCAATAACACCATTTTGCTCATTATCCCTAGATATTATAAATAAAACATTAAATAATATATTCAGGATTAAACTATATATATTGCTTGATAACGCACTTCTGTAACTCAACGAGACGGATTTGATAATAGCCTGGTAATTTGTTAAAAACTGGACCAAAGCTATCAGATATCGTATTTGAAATAATTTCAAAATCTGAACTACCCGGAATAGGCGCTGTAAAACCATCACCCAAATTTATGAGTTTCACTTCCACATCATAATATAATCTTGGAGGTGTTGGTGTCGTAAGATCTTCAAATTCTGTTAAAACGAAAAGTTTTTAATAACATAACTATAATTTATATCTTTTCTATTTTCATTTTTAAAAACTCTAAGATATTTCAGTTTACTGAATTAATTAAAATAATTCATTTGGAATTATTTTACATGCAAAAATAAACTTTCCAAGAATGTTATATCTAAGATTGTATATACATTCTATTTATAGTATAGCATTAAAAAAGAACCTTCAAGACCACAAGATTTTATGCAGATCCTTTCAGCGGAAACAATAGGCACGGCGTCGTGTTTACGTATTTTCTTGCTGACAGCATTGAAAATACCACCCTTGACTGGGTACATCATATATAAGCAGTGATCATCTGTGAAAGAAAGATCTCTATTGTCCTTTGTTATTCGTTTCCTTGAGAATTTGAGTGTCGTTACACCATCCACTTTACTACCGCCCGTATTATAAATATCTTGAGATGGATCGAGCAACGGAGCATTATATCCGCTGATCCAAGTATCCATGAGAAAAGCTCGACCCGATTTTTCATCAACCCAACCCAATATTGCGTCTGTTTGTGACTAATAAAAAAAAAGAACTATCGATTAAAAAATAATTGAAATTCAAAAGCAAAATTTATTATAAAATGGAAAAAATATTATCAGAATATAATGGAAATTTATTAAAATTAAATGGTCAATTAAAATTTGAATTATATTTTGATTAATATATACCATTTTATCGTCATCAGAGAATCCAACACCAGTCCAAACATTTGTATTAGTTGTGGAAATAACAAATGATAATTGATCCTATGAAAACATATTTAATAATTAATTATATAGTATGTTTTAAAAATATTAGAATACAATATTAGAATAAATTGGAGATTCTTGAGCAGTATTTTCTTTGTAAGAATTTTCATTTTGTCTTTGTTAAGCAATATATCTCAAAGAAAATATGTTAAATGTTATATTTATTTATTCATTGTTCGTTAATCGATATAATTTTTTATTAATAAAAAAATATTTATTATATTCAATTTTACTTTCTTCGATTAGCAGTATGTACTGCCGTGATTCAAGATTGTAAATTACGCGTTTCATGATTGGCCAGTATTTTTTATTAATAATTAACAAAGCCATAACAAAAGTTTTTGTAAAAAAAATTTTGAAATTATTTCAAGAATTTTCAGTTTATGGATAATCCAACATTTTTGAGACACTCTATATATAAGATTTATTTCTATATAAAATATTACCTTTCGTCCTTTGTATGTCCATTGAATAGAGTATTCACAAGTACCATTTATAGATGAACAATGTCTCGGATAATGCCACTCACCGCTGCAATTTGAAATTGGCATTGGTACACCATCTTCATTTATCATTTCTTGTTTCTTCTTTTCATCTGAAAATATTAATAATACCATTAATTAATATGAAATGTAGTCTATGGTAATTATGACATAAATTTATTGACAACAATTTAAATTAATTAATTAATTAAAAAATAAATATCTATTTTTATTCACCTACCAAAGAAATTAAGCGTCACTGTTCCTCTTTGTTCTCCATGTCCATGATATTTAAGTTCGTCAGCCTTGTAAAAATCTTTCACACTAATTTTGGCTTTTTCAATGCCACTCGGTGGATGATGAATATATTTTCCAGATTCTTGTCCCTTAGCCCATATCACTTGCATATTACCATCAATAATTTCATAGTCAGTTGGTTCATTTGTTGCCAATTTTCTTCTAAAAAGTATCGTTGTAACGCCATTGCGTTCAAAGCCCATTGCAGCAGTCAATGTATCTCTTCCACCCCAATATTCGTCTTTTCTTGGTGTAGATCTATCTCTAGTATAATAGTCACCAATCCTGTGACTATTGCCTCGTGCTGATCCTATTATAATGTCTGTGCAGTCCATAGGGTTGAAATCGTGTTTTGGCGTATACTTGTGCGTTTCAGGTAGGATAGCTTTGATTGAAATATCACATTAGATTAAAATTAATAAACTTACAGATTTCAATAGTTTTTAATGTATTTATGATAATCAAATAATAAATGATTATGATAATTTATGATTATGATGAAAAAAGTTTTCTATTGCAATATTTTTAAGTTTGCATTACAAAATATATAGCATTAGTGAAGATTTACTTTATAATTTTTTAAGTTAAGTTTTTTAAAGTATTTTAAAAATATTTGTTGTAGCAAGTAATATATATTATATGAAAGCTTATATAAAAATAAATGCAAATCAATATAGATATTATCATTTCATATATAATTTAGATTATATGTATAATGTATTAGTATCAATGCTACTGAATATGTGAATGTTATTAACTTAAATTATTTATTTATAATACAGAAACTATTATTGATTAAATATTTTTTATCTATAGTTTATTATTTAGCATTTCTAATTTTTGTCAATTAAGTTGACGAAAAATTTACATGTATCCAGAAATATTCAAAATAGTTTGACTTTCTTAATCTAATTATTTTCATTATATATTAAATAGAACACAAATTGTAAATTATCAAAAGAAAAAATTTTTAAGTTGAACTTGAATTTCAACAACAATATGATATCAAAAAGTTTTCTGTAATATGAATTAAACGTCAACTTATAAAACATAAAGCTCGTGCAGTATAAAAAGAGACAAGCGATTAAATTATCTTGCTCTCTTAGCTTGTTTTTACCTTTTGTTGCGCTTGATTTGAGACTCGAAATCGATTCTGGTTCCGAAGTCGGTTCAGAACTTGGTTCCGGTTCTGACTTAGGTTCCTGTTCAGACTTTGGCTCTGGTTCGGAACTGGGTTCCGGTTCGGATTTTGGTTCTGGTTCAGATTTCGGCTCCAATTCTGGTTCGGATTTGGGTTCAGGTTCAGAGCTGGGTTCTGATTCGGGTTTAGGTTCGGGCTCAGAATTAGGTTCTGATTCAGACTTGAATTCTGGTTGGAATGTTGATTCAGGCACTGAAGTTGATTTCAGTTTGAATTTCAGTTCTAATTCTGGGCTGGGTTCAGGCTCGGATTTAGGTTCTGGTTCTGATATAGGTTCAGACGTAATGTTCGTGTTGTCAACAGTGCTCGGCTCGGCGATGAGTTCCCCTGTGCAAGAAAGCATCGATCGTCGTGCCAACTAACTACTGCTTATTGTTTACGGACCACCACCTTGTGCGTAGTGTTTCAAATAAAAAAAGGGATACCAAATATTCTACTATTTTTTTCAGGAAGCATTCTACAGATTACTACATAATGAACATATGAATAGTAAGAATATCTTGATCTATCTATAATTAGTATCAATACATACCGTTTGCAGAAATTCCTGTGGATTCTGGTGATCTTTTCTTGCGTCCTATATATGACGCATGAATATTATTTAATGTCACGAAAATGTTTATATAATGTTGATAATTAACTTAATGTTCACCTTGCTTTGTACTGACACGATATGTCACACTGGTTTGCACTGTGACATCAGTATCAGGTTGAAGAGTTGAAGTCAAAGAAGCAATATCATGAACTTTAGCTGATCTTCTTCTGGTACCAGATTTTTCAGTTCCAGATTCAGGTTCAGGTTCAGGTTCTGGTTCAGGTTCTGGTTCAGGTTCAGGTTCAGGTTCAGGTTCAGGTTCAGATTTAGATTTAAGTTTAGATTTAGGTTCTGGTTCAGATTCTGGTTTGGGTTCAGTTTTTGGTTCTGGTTCTGCTTTTGGTTCTGGCCGTGGAAGCGGTTCACCTTTTGGATGTTCTTGAATATCAGGGAAAGAACGACAAATTGGCATTATATTACTTGGTCGCCATCCAACACCGACCCAATTTGTACCATTTACTACCATAATGCCCTCGAGTTCTTTGCTTTCTTTTAATATACGCCAATAAAAAGTAAAATTGTCAGAAAACTTTTTCATAGTATAAATATCCAATTCTACATCTATGGTTTTAATTGGAGATCCTAAAAAAATACTTATTATTAGTAATAATAAAGATATTAATATGTCATTTTTTTATTTATTTTATTTATTTTATAAATTTGTTTATTTTACTGATTTTAAGGATTTAATAACGTATCTTTTAATCGTTCTTTAATAAAATGATGTAAATAATTTAAAAAATATAATATAAGTAAGTAAAATAAGTAAATATAATACTTTAATTCTTATATATATATAATTGTATATAACTTTATATATATAACTAAATATATAATTTTATATATATAGCTTTTTAAAGTATTTAATTGTTGTTAAAACATTAAAAAAACTCTTACTTTTTGCACAACCTGGCCCGAACCAACCGATGTTGCAGTAGCAATGCTTGGTGGGCGCGGTTGTGCCGCCATTGTTAATGCACGTGCCCTGAATACCGCAGTCTGAATCGTCCAGACATTCCTCCTTAAATTCACACCTTATACCGTGATATAGCCGATCACATCTACATCTACCTAATAGATATCGACCATGACCGCTGCAATCTTCTCTATATGTCTTTCTATCAATGATCTAACGAATTAACATTTCAGAATGAATATATTATAATGAAAAAATTATTTTATATTTATAAAATTATATTATATATTTTATATTTCGATAATTTCTTCATTAATTTTTTTTATTGAATTCTTACATCGATATCTGCACAAGACCAAAATCTGTAACTTGAACCCCATTCCTCAGCTTCTCGAAGAAGCCGAATTGTGCAATCTGTACACGTAAAATTTTGAGGTAATTGTACGGCATAATTCTGTGCCCTAAAAATCAATGATTCATTTTTAAATATAAAAATTAAAAACAAATAGAAGAAGAAAAAAATATAAATATAAAAAAAGAGTAGATCTGCACTCACGTAGCATCATCTTCAACGAATTCACTATTTTTCGTCACAGGAGTTAAATCAATTAATGGTCTATCGAGAGCATCCAAGATTTGCAGCCGAAATCCACCCTAAAAAGGTAAAAAATAATTATTCAATAATTGTGATTATTAAATCATAAAATTTTAAATATCTAATAAGTAAATATATTCGAAACTAGATATTTTAGAATTGATTATAAAAATTTTTTGTAATAAGTAGATAAAATTTAATAAAAAATTTATATTATACATTATGTGTATATTCAACAACATTAAATTTAATTTATTTATTTTATATTTGGAAATTTAAATAAATTACAATATCATTTTAGTTTCAATGAATGAATTTCTTTTGCTACTTGTATTGGAAGTAAAAAACAATTGAGACATCAATTAAACATCAAATACGCGCAGATATTGATTGAGTTTATCATAGATTCGTGACATAAAAACTGAATTTCTATTAGATTGATTAAAAAAAAAAGATTGTACATAGCTACAATTTGCCGTTATGAAACTACTACTTTATGAAATGTTTTTCAAAATGGAAATAAAGAGAAATATCATTATACGAGATCAATAATAGACAACAACATAATGAAATAAGCGTTAATTTAATGATTACTGATGTCAATCTGATACCTGTATAAAGATTTGAGGTAAAGAACCGTTACTAGTTAACCCTTGCTCAAGAGCAACATTGCGTTTTCTACTACGTGTCATGTTTTCTAATTATTAACCGCATTCCTTAGATCGTCATAACCTAAAAACTCTATCGATAATATTTTATCAATATTATTTAATAATGATTTAAAATATTGAACTTGTAAAGTAAGAACTTGTAAAATTATTATTTGTTTATTTTTTTATTTATATTATTTTACACTTCGAATTTTAATAATTAATATCAAAAATATGTACCGATATTAATTATTTTTGAGATATTCTTTAAAATATAATGTTTAAAATATGTATTTATTCGAATGAATCAAAGATGTTTGTTATTTTTTATAAAAATCCCTTTTTAATTCATACAAAAAAATTTGTAATTTGTACGTGTATATTGTATGAATTTGAAATATATATAATTCATATAAAAAAATATCTTAAATTAGTATCTTAAAGTTTCTTAATAATATATCTTAATATAATTTTTACAATCAAATAAAAATATGAAATACATAAAATTTTTTTCTATAAATTTCTTATTACTTTTTGATATTATATATTTTTCTTATAATAGTGTTCAATTTATTTCTGTATACAGTTCAATCGTTTCAGTAACGGATTTTAAAGCTTTGGCTTTGATTCGAGTCATTAACGATAGTCGAGTTACGAGTTACGGTATCCGACATACCGATGAATTCGATTCAAATAAGTTCCTCTCTCGCGCCGCGTTCATATGCAAAGCAACTTATATCTCTTACTACCTTTCCGACCTACCTATCTACAAAAGGTATACACGAAGCATTTTGAACGTATACCCAGCTTCGCTTGTGAATTATTCAACAAACATCACCTTGAGCAACGACGTGCAAGCATAGGCCGCCCTCAACCAGTCTCTTCTTTCCCTTTCATATAGACCACGTGCGGACAAATTCGTGATGTCTTTTACGATGACTTAGGCGTTCGTTAAACGCATCGCAAAGAATACGAATGTCCAATTGCGCCACTCGATCATTACTTTCAGCTTACGAACTATATGTCCTAAGCTTTTTCTGCTACTGTGTTTTTATTTACTGTAATTTTTCTTAATCAAAGTCTGGAAAAGTTGGATATATGAATTTATCTTTGGAGTTTTAAGTTTATCTACATAAGAAGATACATTTATACGATAAATAAGAAGATTTTATATTAAGAATAACGAGATAAAAATCTGAATATCTTGGCTGATTAATAATATCGTCAATTATGATCTCCACACGAAGATGATCGATTTTGTTACAAAATTTTTTTGTCCTATTATATTAGAATTGAATTATTTTATATATTTATTCCATGTAATTTATGATGATATCATTAATCCTTCAGTATCTCATATAGCTTTTGGAATCTTCAAAATACAATAAGAAAAATCGTTATGAAATGTTTCATAATTGTTCCCATGTAATTTCCAAGAATAAATCATGATCACATTTTTACATTTAAAAACTATATTGATTAAATAACTATAAACTTTATTAAGTGCTAATTGCAGATATAATTGATGATCATGTTTTAGTTACATAAAAAACAATTAACAAATCGATTACGTGTGTGCCAAATTCTTTGGTCACGATACGCAAATCATTAATTATAAGAAATACAATCACTTGAAAGATGAATACAGAAAGTTTCATATTGGAGAAAGTTGGAATAATGTGAAATATAATGAAATTCGATATAATATCTAACTCTCACGTAACTGTTCATATATTTCTTTTTTCTTTCTTTTTTAAACAACCGTACGTGTTTAGATTTCTTATGCGCTATAACGCATGCGCAGTATACATCTTAAGATATTAAGCGCGTATTTGATTATGTACAGAAAACTATGTACAGAAATTATTTACGAATAGTTATTTGTTTTAAACAACTGTCTTATAGTTTTCTTTATTTTTTTTTTTTTCGTGACTCTTATTCTTTTTTGTGACTAATAAAATTCAATAAAATTCAAATATCATTTAAAATTGTTTTAAAATACATAAAATTAATTAAAGAATTAATTAAATAAAAATTATGTATCAATAACATTTAATTAAATAAATTAAAATGCAAAAAAAAATGAAACTCACTCGATGAGGATAAGCTAGATGCCATGTGACGTTGAAGTTACTCCCAGATAATAAAGTAGTTTTAATATCACCTACAACAAAAAATAAAATCTATTATGCAATGCTGCACTATTCTATATAATTTTCATTGTTCAAAACATATTGAATTATGTCGAGAAACGGAAACTTGTAATTTTTCAAGTTCATCAAGATTTAGATGCTACAAATATGAAAAATATTAATATTTATTATAATGAAAATAATATAATGAAAATAATAATAATTTACATACACATAACATAATGGTATGTAAATTCTTATGATATAATTTCTTTCATTAAATCTATCACAAGAAATCAAAGAAAAATTACAAAGAATTTAATATAAATGAAAACCAATAATTATATCTCTCAGCAATCATTTCAAACATTAAATATTTCAAACAAAAACATTTTAATATAATTCATGACGTTCTACACATTTTCAATTCAACTGAAACTAAAATGATTTATGATATTATCTTATCAAGAGTGGATTTCCGGAAATAATCGAAAGTAATACCGTATATAATCGAAATGTACAATTAATTTCCGGAAGCGGATGGACAAACTCGCGTTCCATAATCAATCCTGCTTTTTACAGAGTACTATCTTTTCCCTCATCTTCTTAAAAAAGAAAGCTTTTACACAAAACAAATCAGCGTATTTATTAAATTATGAGAAAAATATAAACACGATATAATTCTAATTTTAAAAAATATAAAAGAACTTAATAAGCATTTTAACATACGAAATTATATTTTTGATTTGAAATGATAAAAATAAATGTTTAGATAAATTTTATTTCCTATACCAAACTTTTCTATTAAGAATAATATATCAGAATAAATATATCAAAATCGATATTTTTAATATTCGATATTTTTTGTAATATTCATATCATATAGGATAATCGAATTGTAGAAAGTTTAATTAAAAAAAACTCTTATTTGAAAGAATTATTTTCTTTCTTACTTCCTTTTTTATTTGAAAGTCTTGTATAATTTAATTTAAATTACAAAATGATTTATCACAAAATTTTTTTATATACGTATAATATTATTTTAATTAAAATTAATTTTATTATAATTAATTTTTAATTATAATTAATATTAATATTAGCAACTTTCTATATTTGTAATTCCATAAATATAAAAAACTATAGTGATTTTCCCAAGTTATACAAATATACAAATATATATTTTTTTATAATATATATTTATTAAACAAAGTGTCATTTTATTACAGTAATGATGATGCACGCCTATATCTAAAGTTCATATATTTCTTACGAATACGAGAGTTCGCAAAAAGGGTATGTAATATATAAGTATAATGTTGAGGCAAGACATGGAAGGTAATGGCTGAGTAGCCAAGGTTCGAGTTTCCTTCATGCGAGTCGGTGAAAGTTACTTCGAATCAGACTAGCGAACTATTCCCAATGGGACGTATCTTCGTGTTAATGTCGTTTTCCCATAGAACACCCTTTCTACTCATCCCCCATAACTATGACCACGAAAATTTCATATACAGTTTTCAGTTTGTAAATCGTGTACTATACGTATATATAGTGGAATTAACAACGTTTATTTAATTTCTCTGTTGATAATGCAATAGTGTTTTTTTATATAATTTTTATATAATTTTTTTACGTTTCATCACAAATTTTTTCTAGATTGTTCTATTATTATTATTATTATTCAATTATTATTTGAATATCACATACTTTGAATGCTGACAATTATAAAAAATTTAATATCAATAAAATTAATAATTAAAATATTATATTACAATTGAATATGTAAATGAAATGTAAAAAAAATTAGCTAAAAATTTTTTATTTAAAAATTATTTAAAATAAAAAAGTAGTAACTTATATAAAAAATATATTCTGTATGCCTATAACAATAATTATTATTTGTATTTCTTTATATAATACATTATTTTAAATTTTATTAATTCAACTTTATTATAAATTCAAGGATGTATCATGTGTTTCTTTTCTCTAAAACAAACTTTATACTATTATATTATTTTTTCTAGATTATTATTACAAATTGTATCCTGTAATTTTTATCATCCATTTTTAAATAAATATACTCAGGAAATTTAAAATAAAAACTTACCACGAGGCATTCCGCATGGGCCAGGTGTTCTAGCATTATCCAAAAAATCCAAGTCATACTTCCTCGCTCGTGGAAAAGTCAAGGCAACGTGTCCTTGCACTTCCCTGAGTGATACTATTGCTAATACCAATAAAATCAGTCCTGACATTATCATGGTACGTGTACTTGATGACATTTTCAAACACGAACGTGTCACTTTTGCAGCCTCGACTGTATAATAACTTTCGTTGTATTCCACAGAACTGGTACCACTGAGAATTTTCTTCTCGCGCTCCTAAGATCATCCAGTTGATTTTTCTTAACACTCGGCATGGACACCTCTCATTAATTAATTTCTCCCTTCATAGAAGCCAATAATCTGGAAGAAAGAAAAAAAAAAAAGAAATTTCTTAGCTCGTTTTGCAAGTAACGTTTCACTTTTACCAATAAGTAAGAACATTCCAATGAATTTTTTTATCGATTGTTTTTCTTTGCAACGCTAGACAACGCTGAAAGTTAGATCCTCTTATGGTAACAACCATGTGCAACTACATACGTATGAAGCCGAAGCCAGTTTTTGAATACAAACTCGTTCTTCGGCAATTTAATTGATCAATATCGAATAAATTATTATACGAATATATAAAACAATATTTTATACGATAAATCGATCACAAATCTATCTGAGAAGATATTAAAATGTATATTTTGAATATGTGTCTTTTAAACATGGCAAACTTAATCTTTTTAATTAACAATTTTTGATGAAATTTTATTTTTAATCCAATCTATAAATCAAATATCAAAATTTATTCAGGAATTCAACAAAGTAAATAAAATATTAAAACAAATAATTTTATAGAAATATATAAAAATCTGCTAATTTATATATCAATTACTATAAATAAAGAACATATATCTTGGATTGTTAATCGGTTTCGAAGTAGAATATCATTTATATTCATCATCATGCAAGAATGTGTTAACTTCAATTAGAATAGTATAATAATAAAAATCAACAATCAATTGCAATTAAATTAAATATAATTAAGTTAAATTGTAAAATCAATCGAATATGTTATTTTCTTTGTTTTTTAAAGGACTTTTTTTTAAATCGTGATTTGTAGAATTATAAATGTAATTATTAATAGAAAAAAATAATGATTTTTTAATCAAATTTATATTATATAATATATAACTCTATCTCTTTTCTTCTACTTGGAAAGAATTCACATAGAGTAAACAAGGATAAATAATAAAAGCATCAAAAATAAAATAAATGAATCACTAAAAATCGCAAGGAATTAAATATGAAGTGTAAATAGCAAATCATGAAAAATCTCAACAAGGGATAGAGATGAGAAATATGAACATCGAGATAAATGATAAAAATTAATTATAATGATCCATCGAGCACAAATGCACAAAACTAAAATAACTAATACTAAAATAATTTTCCTTTAATATTATTATTATATTATTATATATTTAATTAAAATTAAACTATAAAATAAAAGCAAGAAATAATTAAAAAAAAATAAAAGTGATATAATATGTACGCAAATGCTTTCAATTTATAAAAAAAAACTAAAACTAAAAAAACTAAAAAAAAACTGTTATAATCAAAAAGTATTTAACAATAATTTTTCGTTTATTACATATCCCTCCGAGTAACAAATTATTCTAATAAAATTAGATAAAATAATTTATATAATTATCCACTAAATTATCATCGAAAAAAATAATATTAATATAATATTAAAAGTTAAATAATTGAATTGTTTATATTGATCATGTGTCTTAATACATTAATTATAACAAAAGAAGATTGTTGAAACATCACCAACCAAATGTTATGCAAAATAACGAAATAGATAAAACTATTGAACACGTGTAAACAATGAAAATTAATATATTCGTGAATGATTGCGACAACAGTTTCTATGCACCGCATATTGCAACACCTGGGAGCGGATCTCCTTCTGAGGAATCTCAATATGGCCTCAACGCGGTCTCAGAATGACCTCAGTATAGCCTCATCGATATACGCAACTTCTATCTACAATTCATTCGCACAGATGAATATTGGATAGTATTGGAAAGAATACGATGTAAGAAAAAAAGATGAAAAAGATTCAAAGGAAGTGGAAAGATATATATATATATATATATATATAGATAAATAATTACTTGTGTATAGGATATTTTTTCTCATCTTGTAGAAACTTGACATTCTCCAGAATCTTGAACTATAAGCCACTTTCCAATATAATACGCTCTTCGACTTGTTTTTAAACAATTCATAGTCATTACGAAATCACATTGCATTGGGTACGTCCCGTTGTTTGATGAATCCAATTTTCATTTTTTATATTTTAGATCCGATATCTACGAATTTCAATGTTTATAAGTAATTCCAAAAAGTTAAAAGTTTCTGCGATCTTTGAGATATGCTAATCGCATTCATACACACAATTTGCGTATCCTAACATTCCATTCGTTTTTTTTGTAAATATGGATTCTGTTTTGTAGTATTTGCGCATGAACTATACATTACTGAAAAATTTTGGAATTTATTATTCACTTATTATCACGTGATGTTTACAATCTTATTTGTAAACTTTTTAATTGCCAATATGCATAGCTAGTAAAAATATATTCAAATACCATATTTTTTTCAAAAGATTTTTATATATTAATATAATATATGTATATTATGTAATTTAATTATATATTTATTATGTAATTAATTATAATATATATTGGATAATATATTTGACATTTTGAACATTGAACGATAAAATCGAATATTAACCTGACAATTTACCAAAAAAATAATCGCTGTCATAATGAAAGAAAAATTAATTAATGATAGAATGATTTCAATTGATATTAATGAAAGATTCATTTTGTGTCAATTTGGACTTGTATAGAAAATCAAATAAAAAATAAAAATTGAACCATATAAATTAAAAATAAGAAAAGAGATAAAATATGAAAAATGTCTTTATGGAAAATATTTCCATGATTTGATTAAAAATTTCAATACTAAACTTGAAATACTAATTATCCTTAACAATAAAGCTATTCGTTTAGTTATTTTTCCTCTAAATGCCATCAGTCGATCCCATATGTAATCTTGAGAAAACATTTCTATTGCTTTCTTATTTTCATGAAACTTGAAAAAAAAAAACAAAAGAGAAGAATCAATTGAAAATCAATAATCATATTTGGATATCGATTAAAATAGTATTTTTAAGTTTATACAAATTTAAATATATGTATTTATTTATACCAAATATAAATATATAAACTAAATATTAAATATAATGATTATGATATTTCAAATTTTAAAATATATGGAAATTTTGAAATTACAAATTTAGAATTTGAATTACATTTTTATTAAAAATCATAATAAACATCGTACTTTCCTAACTAGATAACTACGCAGTTAATAAGTTGCACAGCGCTAAACTTTCTCGAATTCTTCTGTTTACATTTTATGTTTCTATATAATCTTACCATTTCACTACGTTCTTTCTAAGATAATAAAAGCATTTAAAAAAAATGTAAAAAAATTATAAATAATATAAATATTTTAACATTAATTTACACTTGTTTGTAAGTAAACCATCAATTATTTATTTAAAATAATATGTCAAGATAAACTAATATCATCATTTCTGTCAGTATAGTACACAAATAGAAAAAAAAAAAACAATGAAAAAAATCAAAAGAATATTCAACAAACTTATGTCTTCAACATAAAGCGAAACAATAGAGTATAGGAGGACTATTTCTTGAATTATGAAAATGATAATGTTTCTAAGTATTATTAACTGATCGTTCTCATTGAGAAATTTCTCTCTGAATAGCAAAGAAAGAAAATTTGCAGTGCAATCATACAAATAAGCGAAACTATGGAATTATATATAGGCAATGTCGTTATTCTCTTTGATATGTCGTAGAAAACAAACCACAATTTCAGCGGACATTCATTTCATTCAGTTTTGTTCTCACTGTTTAATCGCGTTTTCACTTGGGAGCTTATTACGCGATCCAACGCACGATAAAAGTAGCACGATAGAACGGAATAACAAATTTCAAGAAAGAAATACAATGAAAAAAAAATTTCATCGAATTTTAAAAGAATATTAAAATTCCATCAAAAAATACACATATAAATAATAATAAATATCAACGAAGAGATTAGAACAAGATGAATATGCATAATCAGAGTGTAGGAGGATGAACGAATGAGCTTACAATGCAGAATTATGCAGATGTGAAAGATGCAATTTCTTCAAAGATAATTAAGAAAAACGAAGAGGCGAGGAACGCCAATGACGTTGATGCCATTAAACTTCCTCTCACCAACATTCTACGTATAATGAGCTGTTACGCCATACCGCGATATTACCTGAGGATACGCAGAGAATATAAATAGGATGATACAGGAAGCGCGCATCGATAAAAAAAAAAAGGGAAGAAAATAAAACATTCTTTGCAGTGAATCAATCGAACAGTTATCGATAACTTTTTAAACCAACCATTACTAGTCGATCGAATTGTCTTGGGATCATCTTTCGTATAACATTAATTTATTCTCTTGGAATTGTTTTAATTTTCACCTTATATAATTGTCAAGAAGTATTTTCCATTATATTCCATTTTCAACTTCTTTGAACAATCATACATCTTTGAACATCAATAAACTCCATAACCTCTTCCTTTGATCATTGTTAGCTTTACTGAATATACCGTATAAAGATCCAAAGATTTACGTAAAACATTTTTTCGAAAATAGTTTGGTAAACGAACCGCGATTATTTCATTAAGTCAAAAAAGATTCAATAATATTATCTTCTTACCTTTTAAATATTTTCTGCTAAACTTCCAGTTGATCTTTCAGTGTTACACAAAATCATTGCACCAAGATTATAGATTTTAAACTAGCACTTCTTCAACGATATTAACCAAGAAAAAAACAAGATTATACAAATGATTCCACTTTTGATGGTGAGACACAACAAAAGAAAACGTGTTTCCGCGCAATCGATGAACCACGATGTTTCACTATATAATTAAAATATGTGATTTCAAAACGTAGTCATTTCGATGTATCGAACTATTAATTACGACGATGCATGATAAGATCGTTCGATTTCAACAGGTGGTAGCTGTGCACAAGGATACCGTAACAAACGAAAAGGATGCGATGGGGCCACGTCTCAGACTGATTCCAAGAGGTTCGGCTCGGCTCTACTCGACTCGACTCGACTCACCTCGACTGCCTGGCATTGCAAAGCAGCCGTGAGCGAAAACTTACTTTACGCTCCCGCACGGCCTCTTACGTTTGTCCCCCGCCATATTACCAACTGCCTGTTTTTTTAAAGCTGCTTGCTTGCTCGCCTGAATACCTGCTCTATGTTCCTTCACCTCGTTCACCGCGCAATCGTGTCTCATAGCAGTTTGACATCTCATATTTAAAATGATTATAAATTCTGAATGTTTTGATAAAAAATAATTTTATTTATCTTAATTTTAATTGTTCGAAATTATACAAAATATTATATGATATGTATTTTTATTAAAAATATCTTATCTTTAATTTTTCTTTTTATTTTGTTATTTTTATAATTAAAATTAATTAATAGCATAATATTTTTCAAAGAATAAAAATAATATTTATTTAATATTGTAATGTATTTATATTATTTTATGAAATTTTTTAAGAAATAATAAACGATAAATAAATTTAATATTACATGTATATTTATTATATTTATTAGTTAAGAGAAATTTTTCAAATTTCCTGTGTATGACTTCCTTTCTTTCTCAATTAATTATTCCAAATTTAAAGTTAAAAAATATAATCACTACTCTTATTGTGTAACAAGAGCCTTGTATGACTTTATTGATTTGTCTCAAATTTTTTACAATGAAAATGGTTCAAAATAAATTTAATCTTTAATTGATATTTTATTATTTATCAGATTTGATTTGAATAAATATGTATGTCTAGTATTCAATATAATTAATATCTAACTAATTGTCATTTCTGTTAATTGATATTTATAATTCATTTCATATTCATATTTCATATGTAATATAAATATAACTTTAAAATAATTTTGAATATATTGTATATTCAAATTTGGAAATTTTAAATGCTATCACAAATTAAAAACATAACTAGCAAGTAGACATAACTTTATTAAAACTTATTTGTCTGCTTTCTAATTCTTGTTAACAAAAATTAATGATATTACATATAATATATCACTCATAACATGATTACCTACATGATATAAATCTTAAGAGTAATCTATTCATTCATTATCATGATAAAGAGTGTTATAAAACAAAATAAATGCGAAAATTATAAAATAAAAAATGTAAGTTCGCTTAAAAAAAGAAAAAGAAGAAAACATATTTCTCAACTTCAACCACGAAATTCTACAATCTTTATGTTTCTGATTACGAAAAATTTATGCAATTTAACCTTCATAGGAATCAGTATTTCGATATCGTTGATCCATGGGTATCTTTCAAACGGAAATTAATTTCATTCAGATGGTTTTACTCACGTAGTAAGCGTGCTCGACAAGCACGACTTAGCTAGTGTTTATACCTGTGCCTGTACATTTTAACTTGTAGCAAGAGCAAAACCTCTCGATCGGAATGGAAAGCGAGCAGCTCCGGCACGCGGTAGCCTACAGCTCGATCGAGTGGTGTTCATTCGCGCCTTAGGCTGCATGCAGACTGGCAAACAGGTCTTACATTCTGTGCTTGGTAAAAGTTTGTTACCAAACGATATCGACATTTTGAAGAGTTGTAAATTCTTTTAGGGAAATTGCAATTGAGGAAATTCTTAGATATACAGATACAAAGGCTAAAAATATATTTTTTTGTACTATATAATAATATTACATAAAGGTATTTAAAAATTTCAAGATTTTTATCAAGAATCTTAAGAATCAAATTTTTTTAATATGAAAACATAAAAGAAGAATAAAATATAGAGAAATATCAAAGACATTAATAATTTATGGTATAAAGTACTTAAAGTTTAAAATTTAAATAAAAATAGAATTCATAGATTCAAGATCTTAAAGAAAATATAAAATTTAAGATTTTAGCTACTTAAAATCTAAGAATTTCAAATTCTAATAGTTAAAATCAAATGATTTGGACATTGACAATTTAAATTTTAAAAAATTTAGAGATTTAAAAATTTAGGAATTTAATCTTATTAAGGATGTTAAAAGATCAACAAAATATTCAAATATTAATAATTCCAGGATATAAAAACTCATAAAATTTAAAGATTAATTAAAGAATTAATCAAAGATTTAAAAAAAAATCAAGAACATTGAAGATATCTAAAATAATTTTACAATTAAAGATTTAAAATAATAAAAATTAAAATTCAAAAATTCAGGAATCCATAACATTCTATTTAATCATTATTTAATATTATTTATATAACTGAATTATTATCATTATATTATATTATATCTATATGAATAATTTTCTGCAAACTATCATAGAAATATTAAAATTATTGAAATATTTAGATTAATTAAGTCATCAGCAAAATAATATTTCTATATCTTAAATTACCAAATTCCATTTTATTTATTATTTCAACAATATTTTTAAAGGATGTATGATTTATTACTCAAAATTATATTTTATACATATAGATATACATTTCAAATATTCAGTGAATTATAAAAATTCCTTCTTTTTATACATTTTCTAGTACTGATTTTTATAAAAATATAATATACCTGTTAATAGATTAATGCAAAAACATCAGAGACAAAATGTCAATTGACATTTTTTATTCTTGAAATATTGATAATGACTTCACATATCTTTTTATAATATATATATTAAGGAATTAAAATCAGTAAAGAGCAGATCTGGAGGCCGACATATGTAAGTATCTCCTTGCTTGTTCTTGAAGCGAATCAGAGAGCTGGTCAGAGGGAGAGGCCGCATTCCAATCCTTGGAGAAAGCCTCTCGCGCATTTAACTTCGGGATGACCGCTCAGAGGTCACGTAAACGAGCTTCATGGACCCGTTAGTTCGATTCTTATGCGTGCGTATCTAATCCAAAATTATTCTATGTGATTTTTTTCTCTATTTTATTTTGTTACATATTGTAAATTCAAATATTCATCTGAAATATTTAGAACAACTGCTGTTATTTCCATGTTCTGTTAGATGATTAGAAGAGTATTAGATGATTTAGAGTATTATATATTAATATTATATTCTTCTTATCTTTATTATTATTATTATTATCATTGTTGATTATAATATAAGAAAAATGATTAATATTTACATACTATTAAAATGTAAAATAACCTATAAAGTATAGATAATGTAGAATATTCAAAGTCACTATTCCTAGTATTTATTGTTCACATTGAAAGTTATATTACATATCAATTTTTATTATATGCTATCTATCAATATAAATAAAGTTTAATCATTTTATGATTATCTTCATAAATATATGACGTGATAATATAAATATATTTTTTAAATTTAAATATTTTTGATGGAAAAAAATAAAAAAATATAATTACACTGAAAGTATTCTTAATATTATTATTAATTTCAAATGATAAAATAAATAATTTTAGAAAATTACTTATAAAGAGATTAATCTTTTTTTTGATCTTGAGTTATTTCTCAATTATTTAATTTAAAAATATAATAATCAAAGAATTTCATTGTATTACTACAATGAAATGAAATACTAACAATTTTTAAATTAAAATATAAATATTAATCAAAGTATGAGTATTAATTAAATATTTTAGCTTTTTTACGATTCAAGTAAAGAAGATCAAAATCAAAATGACTAATTTAATAAGATTTTGTTGGTTACTATCACGACAGAGATACATTTGAATTTAAATTGGGGAAAGTATGAAGTTGAAACCTTTGAGGACGTACACCTGCCACAAGGTGACTGCATTCCACAGTAAGGTGAAACGTAAGTAACCGAGATCCGTACTGGAATGTATGTCGGATTTGCTGGAATATTTCACGAGTTACTAGCAATATGCTGACCAATTATACATGGTATATTGTACCGTCGCGCAAATCGTTTGTTTTTGCAAAAGTCGGCCTACTTACATCATGTATGATTAACTCATACAATTCAATAGCTCTTGCTATAATGAAATCAATCATTGACAATCAAGTGAAATTTTCGACATATTTTTACAAAACGAACAGTTTTATATTGTACTATTATTTCTCTTTTTTTGTTCTTTTAACTTGTATTTTCTTCTACTCTTAATGAAAAAATAGATTAGATTCTTCTTTTTTTAATTTTAATCTTGAGTTTTATTAATATTATATTATTTTATTTATTGAATATTGATATTATATTTTTTGTTATTTTCTTTTATATAATTTATTTTCTTAAATCACGTTATTTTAATTTTTTTGTTCAATCTCTATAATTTTTTTAGCAATCTTTTTTAATATTCTTTATCATTGTTGCATTGAACTATGAGTTATACTGTATTTTTGAATGTTTTCTTCTATTTTCTAATTACAATGTTAAATTCATATTCTCATGTATTATATAGAAAGATAATTTAAATAATTCTAAAATCTGCATAATTATAATATATAATATTATAATTATTAATTAAAAAAGAAAATTATTTTCAAATTTATTTTCAGAACAATAATTTCTCGCTATTTTTTTATATATTCAGTATAAATTTTCATCAAAAATACTATTCAATAGAATAAAAATACTTCACATTATCACATCACAAAATATCTGATACGCAGAATATTACATGATTGCGCATACCTAATAATCACTAATCAACTTATTCCACAAAAATTTCTTTACAAAAATTATATTTAATATCAAGCACAACCGAATGACGTGAAGTGCGAACTCTTGTATATGTGTTTCTCGCGGTTAATCGAATTTCTTAACATCGATATTAACTAGTGATTCTCGCTGGAACATTTTTGGGCGTATTCACAAAGCGTGTCAATATCTAGTGGAATGGCTATGAATAGAGTTAGCTAGATAAGAATGCGTTCTCTTTCTGTGCTGATCGGTTTAGCGTAACTCGTGCATGAATCAGACTTCTTGTAACGGGAAATCAAGATTTCATTTAATTCTATAGTAGTGATTTAATAATTAAATAAGATAAAATAAAAAAAAAATAAAGTAAAAGAAACGGTCAAAATTCATTGTGGAATATCTTATGGAATTTAATTTGAATATAATTTATAACAGAACATTAAACCATAATTCGAAAATAATTCAAATTTTTTTCGCTACTATTTCTATTTGCTTATATTTATAAATTCTTTTCTTTATTATTATTTTTTTAGTTATTTAAAATAAAAGAATATAAATTTCTAATTAATAAAATTTCTGAACTTTAAATATTTGTAAATAACCTATAATTTTATTTTAACTTATAACTTATGATTCTGATAACAATTTCATCGAAACTTAACCTCGAAATTTTTATGCAATATTTCAATTTTATTATTGTGTTTTTTTTTTTATATTTTTTATAAAATAGAAAAAAAATTGTAATCACCACAACCTACAATCTAATTTGAAATAAATTTAAATCTTATTTGAAATAAAAATATTAGATAGATAATTCTTAATATTATGTAAATTAGTATGATAATGTATAATGTGGTATTATAGAAAGTTAGAAAGAATATCCGCAAGAAATAATCATAATTCCGCCTACAGAATACATTTTCATGTCAGTGTTGTCGTTAGACATCGACGAAGTTAAATATATATGGAATCGCAAGTATGGAATTGCATGTACATAGGTAAATTTATGATTACTAAGTCTGTTATTCCTTCCCAGCCATTCTTTCCTATTACATTCCATGGCTTATAAACATTTTGTATATGTATTTGTTGTGCCTTTTTTGGCAGGTTTAGGTTAAGAGATAAGCAAAATGGAGAAGTTATATGTATGTCATTTAAGTTTATTATTCCTATGCTGTAGGATATAAATAAAACATAGAGAGTTTTAGAATTTGTTGGGAAATGTCAAAGAATTTTAATAATAGAAGTATAAAATAGATATGGAAGAATAATAACAATAATGAATGTTTTCTTAATAAAAGAAATTAGTTTATGTAAAGAAATTAGTTATTATGTAGTTTTTTAATTTATTCGATAATTTAGCAAATCGATAATAATCGAAAGCAACATTTCATACTTCTTTATTTTCGTTTAGTTCTCGAATATATGAATTAATCGATTCATTTTGATGTGTGCAAGCTATTATAGTAAAAGTTTCTTGACAGTATGAAGAATTGATTATTTATTTTATTATCTTGTATATTATTATATACTATTTTAAATATAAAATGCGTTTGTGTACACAATAAAATCACCGATTTATTGATTTTTAACATTTGATTTTATCAGTAATCAAAATAGTTTTATTATGTATAATGTGAAATATAATTAATTTAATATAAAATCATTCGATATCTAAAAAAATTGATAAAATTCATTTTTTTATCGTTTTTTATCATATATTCAAAAAGATATTTTCAAACGGAATAAAATGGAAAAAATGAAAACTACTAATAATATTAATAAAATAAAGATTTGTTATATGGAATAAAAAATTAAATTCTTATAAAAATAAAAATTTAAAAGAATTAGCATTACAAAAAATAAACATATATACTTGTGAAAATTGAATTTCCAATAAAGATATAGAATTGCATGAATTTTATTTCCAATTTAATAAAATAATTGAATCAGTCAAAAAACCATAACATCTGAATTAATTTTAAAGGTTGTTTTTTATATTAATCTCTGTTACTGTAATCACAGGTGAATGTGCTAAAAGAAACTAGTACATTGCAAATGAATCTATGGAAACAATATAAGACTATAATACAATACAATGCTTGAAAAGAATTAGAAAAAGAATATCTACACGAGAACACATTCTCTTTTAAATATATACAAGTATCAAGAATTATTTATAATTATACAATTTAATTTGTACTTTATGTATAACATTAATCTTCAAAATGAAATTTATATAGAAATAATTTAATAAATATGGATTAAGTATAATATATTCCATTTATATAAATTAATATTATATATATTTTTTTTATGAAAATTTTTTTATATTTTATATTATTATTTTATATTTTTTTATTTACTTACCATATTATGCACTAAGTATTACATTAAATGTAAAAATATGATCATTAGGATTTAATTAATTTTCTTAAAGTTTATCATATTTAAATTAATTATTTATAATTTTAATTAAATAGTTGATTTTCATTCTAAATGAATAATAATTATGCAAACTTATATTTTTTATATTTAATGACATTAATATTATTAATGAAGTATACGATGAACACAAGAAAAATGTTTCTTGAGAAACATCTATATGTTGATTTGCATAATTATTAATCTATAAAAATTATTTCAAATATGCAATTTATGACGAGATTTCATTTCAAACTATTTTAATTATTTTAACCTTTTTTAAAGCATGTTAATGATACATAAAAAGAAAGAAAAATATTTTCCAAAATTTTTATAATTTTTCATATTTTTCTGGAGTAAATCATTAAAAGTGAGAAAAAAGACAAAATTATATACAGCTTAAAATAATTTTTTTAATTTACAAAATTAAAATTAAACTTCTTCTATTACTTTTCTTTTCAGATATCAAACAACATAAAATTTCATTTCTTTCAACATTATTCCAAATTAATCAATTTTCACAGAATTCATTTAAACTACATAACCTCTTTGCAGGTCATGAGAGTTTTCTAAAGTAATTATATAATTCTATGTTCTCTTAGATTATCATGACATAATCATGTAATTTCATTCAAACATGCGTTCGACTAAAATATTCGATAAGTTGAATATGTCGAATGAATTGTAGATATATACCATACGTTAATATAGCATTTCTGTCTTTCGTAATATGGCACGATCCTTGATTAGAAACATTCGTAGATAATAAATCGGTATAGCTTATTCTTCTGGCTCTTCTGACGGTCAGTCATAAACCAGAGATCTCTCTCGCATGAAATAAGAGAAAGTTAGAGAGAAGGAGAGAAGGGGAGAGAAAGAGAGAGAGAGAGATTTTATGAGTATAACAAGTAGACGAGATAGTGGCATAACAACAGACATCTCATGCTGAGAGAAACCACTTTCGCTCTTTTCGCTGCTCGACCGTGTATTTTCATTTTTCTCCTCTTTCTAATCAGACGACAGACATTGCCATAGTACACCATATAATTTCTATTCATATAATTTCGATTGTAGATTACGCACATTTTGTAGAATGATTGTTGAGCAAGGTTTTTACTTTCCAAACATTATTTTATAATTGATCTTACCTTAGATTTAAATAAAAAAGCGAATTTTCATGCAGAAAAATATTGAAATAATTTAGTTGATTGTTTTTTTAATAGATTAGTGAAATAGGATAAAATTTAAGAAAATTAATTTTGAAATAAATTTATAAATTTGATAAAAAAATTATAAGAAGATGATTTTACTTTGATTTTTACTTTATGATGTAATTAAAGATTACATCATAGTAAATTTTAAAGTAATCTACTTATGATGTAATTAAATTAAAGATTTTTGAATAATATAATATTCCTAAAAATATTAACAAGAAAATAATCCCTTTTTCGATCACATAATCTATTTAGAATATATATACATATATTAATATATAATAATTACATATAATAATATATATATATATATACATATATTAATATATAATAATTACATATAATAATATATATACATATATTAATAGTTTATATAAAAATATATGGAAGAAAAGAAGGTGATTAATATCAATATCACGACACAATCACTTCCATAGACTTCGTTTCAATTTATTTTGCGAATACTTTTCAGATTGTCTACATCTCGATCCGAACGCTTCATTTGTACTTATAGCATAACGTCATGCAGTTGCATCACGGTTAAATACTTGTAATTGCTTCATGTGGAGTAGAGTCTTTGTGACCAATGCTCTTATTACAGATCGTTGTCTGAAAAAGTTACAGAACAATCGAATCTCGTAGAAGAACACGGCACTTGTTAAAAATGTTATTTATTGGGAATGGCAATGGTAATAAAATATAATATTATCGTCATCGTAATTATAAAATACATTCAATGGTAATAAAAATAGAAGGAGAAGCGCGATCTTCGCGATTGTTTGGTATTCACGAGTGATCGTATCGGAAGTACGTTTTACACGTTTTACTATGTACACGAGGAATATATTAAAAATCCTCTCTGGAATTTAGTTCGCACTCAAAGTCGAGTCTCGACCATGGAAAATTTCGCAAACCTCGGTTTTACATCGATTTTAGGAACTCTTGTTTTTATTTGTGTTCGTCCATGTTTCGCTTTGTTCATCGATTCGAGACTTGCACAAACCTATTCCTCACGTCACATAATCGCGAAACAAAAAATTTTCCTCGAGACAATACATTGATATAAAAACAATTCTACACTCTCGAGGATATCATCAGGACACGATGCATTTATCTGTATCTCTCTGCGTTTGATTCGACGTCGAGGATGTTGGTGTACGTTTCCTTGCACATGCCACTGCATCATTGGGCACGTAAGAGATTCTAACACCGCCATATGCTCTTCTTGGAGGTAAAGCATAAGCTGCAGCTTCGTCAGAACTACTTGACGAGCTACAGGTGGAACAGCAGGATTCAATGTCTTCTTCATCGCCATCTATCCTCGATTTTGAGTTTCCAGCAATACCTGGAATAAATCATAGAATTACAATAAATATAATAATCACAAAAAATGTAATAATTATATATTTTAAAAACCTATTCATTAAACCTATCAATATCTTATTGTAAATATAATATATATAATAAAAGAATCAATTCTAACATATTGAGTAAGATAATTATAAATGCTATAATTATATACAGTTTAATGAATTAATTAAACAGTAAAAAAAATCATACTTAATAGATAAAATAATATATAATAAACTTATATCAATTTCAATAGTAACAACATATACAATAAATATGCATAACAATTATATATATTAAAAATAAATATAATATATATAATTCTTGTACTATACAATAGAATAAAAGTTAAAAAACTATCCAAGAATTTTTTTTCAATTGATTTATCAATCTTTTTAAAAATTTCACTATATTACAGCCAAGATAAACATTTTAAAAGATTTAACATTTTTTATCTCAATATAAAATTGATTCTTCTTTAGAATTTTATTGTGTTATGCAAAACAAGCAAATTTACACACCCCAAGCGGATGTGTCAGCTACTTCCTCCGATTGTAGGCTTCTCGATCGGGACACGTTTGTTCTCGATAGCGATGTAAGCGGAGGAGAGGGCGAAGATGATGAATTCCTATCATTATCAGGTGACAGGGGGATACGGGAGGAACCTGCTGCGTGATCGTTCATGTCTAAATCGCCCTGAAACCGCACGCGCCGCGATGTTGGTGTCGGAGGGTCGGTTTGACCGACAATGAGGGTCGTAGGCGACGTCGCCGATTCTAGCACAACCCCGGATATCGTGGTCGCGACAACACCGGTCGATGTAGACGTTGATGCCGATACTGATGCTCCAGATGATGGTCGAGGAGGTGGTGGTAGCTCTGGCATGCTTGACGCGTGGGAAGGAGCGCAATTCTGAATGCATCTTAATGGCTCACGATCTCTCGCTTGCATCAACCTATGAAAAAAAGATTTGTAATGATTAATTTATATGATTGTTTGATTTTGTTTTATAAACAGTATTGCAGTAATTATATTGTAATTATAAATAGATTAATTTGATAAATTAGTTTGTTATGTATAATTTGCATTGTATTTGTGAGAATGATACATGATGATGGTTTGTGTGAGATGCATAATTTAAAGAAACATTTGAAGAAGACAATTTACCATACATTTCAATAGTATAATTTATTAATTGAATTTTAAAAATGTATAAAAAATAATGTCTTTACAAATTGCAGATTATCAGACTTTGTAATTGGCATTTCATTTAAGAGAACATCTGTCATGAAATCCATTATACATTGAATTCAATATATTGAATTTTTTTACTGACATTTAACTATAATTAATTAAAAAAAAATTTAATTTATATAATTTTAACTTTTTTTATATAAAAATTTTCATAATATTCTTGTGATTTCACTAATAAAAATAATCGTTTCTATAATTAAAAATCTTATATTCTATGATTGATATTAATTGATCTTAAATTACTGCTATGCACTATTCTACATAGGAATATATTTTAAAGGAATATATTTAAGAAATTTTAATTTAATTTTAAATCTTTGTTTTAATTAGTCGAAAAAACTAACTTATTGACAAATAATTTACCTTCCCAATTCATTACGATTTTCTTCTGGATGAGAACTACGTTCCTGAAGAAGTCTTTCAAGATTCCTCTCGAGTAATACACGATCAAGACCATTTGATCTGGAACTGCTCGAAGGAAATGTTTCAACCGGAAATTCAGGACTTAAAGTGCTTTGCGTAGGTGTTGTCGCTAGAGAAGCAGATGTCTGATGATGTTTTCTATTCATCCGAGGTGAACTACGTGGTGAACAGAGTGTATGTCTGGATCCAGGTGGTGGTGGAGGTGGCGGTGGGGGTGGTGGACTTGAGGAACCTTCGCTTGGAGGTGGTGGTCTCCGGCCAGTTCTATAAATTGAATAATAATAAAATAAATTCTTGATCAAAATTATTTAAAGATCATTAAAATGAATCTAAACAATGAGTCTTTGCTTTCAATCAGAATAAGATTTTCAATAAAAAGACAGAAAAATTGAAAAGCAGATAATTAAGTGAAACTAATATAATACATATAATAATAATAAACTATATATAAAACATTTTATAATAATAAAAATTCTCAACCAACAATTATAAAATATGATGACTTAATGAAATTAAACTTAATTTAAGCTTTCTAATTGCACTTTTTAAAAAATTCTTCATTCTCAATTATATAAAAGAACAATGGTTACCTAAGGAAGGAAGGTGGTGGTGGTGGTGGTCCAGCAGAAGAGTCACTTGGCGTTGTTGGTAGTTCCCCCTTGCTACAGGCAATACTGCAATAAATGGCACCTCTCCGTGGAAGAAATGGTCGTCCAAGAAGGGATGTGCGACAAGTGGCGCAACAGAAGCAAGCCTCGGTTGCGTGCCAATGTTGACCCTCGTGCGACATTTGGCCTTGATCGACACCAATTGGTTCGCCACAACTGTCGCAATACTCGGCGAAGGAGGCATCAAAACATCGGAGACAGTAAGGTCTGCCTTCTCTCATCACGTACCTTTGACCCCCAAGCTGAAATTATTTAATGAATTATTAAAAAATACGCCTATTATTACATAATAATTAATTATACTTGAGATTACATTTCCTCCAAATTCTTGATTTTGAACAATACATGTATATACATGAAAGTATTTTTAAGTCATTATTAATATTGATGGTCATAATTAAAAATATTTATCCTATTTATAATATTATAAAATTATATTATTATTTAATTATTTAAAATTTTTTAGAATAAATACTAGAGAAAAATAAAATAAAGAAATTATTTAAAACTTTATTTCAAGATAATTTTACTTCATTTTATAATAATTTTAATCAATGCAAAAATTTTGATTTAATTATATAATTATTATTCAATATGCAAAATTGAATAATATACAAAATAAATTGAATCTATCAATATATTATATATAGAGATATATAAATATATAATCATCAATATTAATTAATAAAATATTAAAAATCAGTAATAGAAAAAAATCTATTTATTAAATTACAATTATTCACTTTAATCATCATTCTTTTCATTAATCATTTAAATTCATGAAATAAAAAAAACATGCTTTTATTATCAAATTCCATTCCTCTTATTAATCTATTTCAAAGTCTGCTACATCTTTATGAGTATGCACATTATACTGGATAATCAGAGATCTCCAGAATAGAAAAATGGCAACATACAATTTGGATCATAATTCTAATTCCATTGTTCATTATCGAATCAGATCAACCGATAAGAAGTTTCATGTAATCAACTGTACGACCGTGACATTTATCGACACTTTGATTCAATGAATTATCGTGTCGCATGTCCTGGACGGGTATCAAGGGAATATAAAGGGGGCAGTTCTGAAGCTGACAGTTAAATCGTCCCGCCATTCCATCCCAAATAACTCTTGGAGGATATCTTCTCTGATGTAAATAATTGTTATGGCCTCAAAAAGTGCCAACAAATGGAATTTTTGCCCTCTCTATCATTCAATACTAGACTACTAGATAAGTATATAGTATCTGTTTTTTTTTCAAACTTTTTTATTTAAATATATTTAATAAAATACTTGTGATATAGATATAGATTCTTGTTTCCATTTCAAATGATAAAATTACAGTATATACTAGCATATGATTTAATCTGATAGTGAGAAATTAGTAAAAGTAAGCGTATCTGTTTAAGTCGACAGGGAGTTTTGATTAATCATCACGATAAGTAAGAAGAGTATAATCCCCATTAATCAAAAGTCATAAATTATGAATCCAATTTTTTCTATTTTCTATCTAGTAGTACTTTTTAAGTTCTGAGTTTTGAGTTTCATCGATTTTAATGAGAAACAATTTACTTTTATTATTTATTAAATTATATTTTTAATAGAAATACTAAAGAACGATTTAAAAAATAGAAATGAATTTGAACATCTTGAACATATGTTAACAGTGTTTAACTACCAATATTGAGATGCAGATATTCGTTTTACTTATAAATACAATACATAATTCATGAATTTTATTCGTTTAATATTCATGGACAGTTAGTAACATCATTTTTAATTGTATTTGAAAGGGATGAAACAAAATTAAATAATTGACTTTGAATAAGAACAAGAAATATTCAACAAAACCTAATTGATCTATTCTAATAATTAATATATTCCAATAACTTAATCTAATCTATACTATCATTTTATCTTTTCAATCAGATTAACTACAAAACATGAAGGAAAAAAAAAACATAACTACTCTATTTTTTCTAATAATAATTTTGTTCTCATAAATTTTTTATTAATTTCACTGTAATAATAATACTAGATTTAAAAAATAATCATTGACTGGATATTATACTGTTTCTCTGTAAAGCTCTACATTTGATTTCATAAAATAGCTAACACTTCTGAGAAAATAAACTGATTAAGCAATTGAAAAATCATAGAAAAATATTTATATCTTTATGAACTTTTCAGATTCATGACAATTGATTCATAACTGATTGAAGAATATCCGAAATGGGAAGAAATCCGATCCAAAATCATTCGATTTGATCAATGTTCTATTTGACTTAAAGTTTCTCCTAACACTCCTAATTTCAGGTATATTCAATTTTCATACAATTTTTTACCTGCCGATCGCACTCAAGGCACGCGAAGTGCCTCATATGCCACGCCCTCCCCTCCGCCTCTGTGCATTCGTCGGCAAGTATAATCTCGTCACAAGCACAGCATCTCGGCTTCAACGTTTCCGCATGATGCCTGCCACAGTACAGCTTGCCATCCTTCCAGAAGTATATCAGGTCGACGAGCAGCTGCCTGCATACGCAACAGACGAAGCAGGCCGGATGCCAGAGGGCGGATGGACCGG